GTGTGTGTGTGTGTGTGTGTGTGTGTGTGTGTGTGTGTGTGTGTGTGTGTGTGTGTGTATTTGGGGGGAAGGAAGAGGAAGAGGAGGAGGAGGAGGAGAAGGAGGAGGAGGAGGGAAGGAGAAAAAAAAATAGGTCACCCCGTAAAACAAAAAGCTTGCAGTCGACATCGCAACCGTCTGCTGCGCTCCCATTGGCCGGCCTGTCTCCATGGTAACAGGTTAACCTTGAGGCAGCATCACATGGGCGAGCGAGTCTTCGGCTGTCTCCGAGAATCCAGCGAGCGACGAGTGACATCCGTGATCACTGTGTCATCTGCACACACACACAGAGACACACACACACACACACACACACACACACACACACACACACACACACACACACACACACACACACACACACACACACACACACACACACACACACACACACACACACGGGAGGGATTTCTATCCAATGCTTAATGTATAGAGCCACTGTTTAGAAGGTCACAGCATGTTGTTGGCCAATAAATACATGACAGCCAATCAGTGGGCAGTTTAATGGATATTGGCTTACTAGATTGTGTCGCTCTTATGTTGGATGGTTGTTACACTGAACACAGAGGAAAGAACATCTTACTGTTAATGCCTGTGACCGGTTATTGCTCCATTTATTTGCATATTGAATGGGGGTAAAATTATGAAATAAAAATGTATACTTTTTGATGCACAGTTGCAACCAAACTAAACAATGGTGGCACAAAACCAAAATATGACGCCCCTTTGTTTACTTCCCATTACAAAAAACATTCAGTTTTCCAAATTTGCTTTTTGTTTGTATAATTTTGGGAGGGTTTTATAGTAGAATAACACAAACTAGAAGCAGATAGTAAGTATTGCTTTCCTAGCTGTCTTATTTGCGATATATAGAGTTAGTCTTTGGAGACAGTAAACTAAATAATTACTTCTTCAAGTAGATATCACTAAGGATACAAAAACAGTGAGTTCCTTTGCTCCTCTCTAGAATAATCCTGCATTGTCAGAAATGATCAACATGTGGCTAATATTTAAATTGGATATTAGCTGGTGAATATCAAACTTAAAGCACATAATGTGTGTCCAGATGATGCATTTTTTTAACTTTTCACACTGTTTTATGAGCCTATGGGCTCTTAAACATTATTCCTTTCAAATCGTCTACAATCGAGAACGATTTCAAAAATATAATCTGTTAATTAAAAAAGTAACCTTTGCACTGTTAAATATTGCCTATTTTCCCTGAAGGGTAAAGTAATATTTCCTCTTGTAAAAGAGGCAGCCATTTCAGAAAAACCCTGCAATTGTTCAAACAATATCTGAGTTACCATTGCCATAAAGCTATGAATCAACAAATTAACAACTTCTATTTCCATATTTACTGCCACCACCTGAATGAATTCCACTGTCACATCATTTAATTACACCGTAAAGTTACATTTCTAATTAAATATGAATCTGAAGGTAACAGGAAGTCTCTTGATGTCAATGGCTGAAGATGGAGAGCTGCCCGACCTGGAGTGTATTGAGCACAAGGAGGTCCGCCCCCATGGCCAGGTACTTTGTTTCCCTCTGCCTTCTTCCATGTCTTATTAGAACAAAGATGCTCTCTGTTTCTGTAGGACATTTCACCATCATCTTAGTTTGTTTTCTAAGTGAATTTACACAAACAAACATGTTTATTCGTACAGTAAATTACCATTTTAGTGATTGGAGCTTTGAGTCTTGACTGAGTTATAAAAGAAAAGTCAAGTTATTGATTTTAAATTCCTGGTTCAAACTGCTTTTTTACACTGCAATCTCCTAATAAAAACCAACATTTATGGAATAAATTAGATGATGGCAAACCGTGCTGTATGTTTTTACGTGTACAGAACTGATTCTTCACACAAACCATTAGAATGAACTCTACTAAAGTCTTGTTTATTGTTGTGTCTTGCTCAGAGTATGGACACCAACCCGTTCAGCGCTCTGCTGATTGATCAAACTGTCAGCTACAGTGGCTCGTCCCTAAGCAACAAATCGCCTACCCCCGACCCCACATGTCCCCCCCCCAGCTCCCTCACTCCTCCAGATTTGATCCTGACCCAGAAGACCCCAGCTCACTGTAAAGCTGACCTTCAAGTGAGAAGACATCGGTTGTTTTAATTTAATCTAAATAACTATTGCTTTATGTTTTTTGTAGAGTACTTTCAAAACAGAATAATAAGTGATTTTTATGTTGTCCATTAAAGAACCTATACTCTCTTCTCAGATGCCGAGCATGACTCCTACACCATCCCTGGTCCGGCCCCCTCCCTCGCTCAGGACCCTGAGCCACCACATCCCTGACCTATACCAAATCAATCACCGCCAGGGTGATCAGGGTACTTTTAAATGCATACCGTTTACGTTTTTTAGAGAAGTACCCAATGTCCACAGTTAATTCATACGTATAAATATTTAGCATTTTTATTTATTTTGGAGATAAAAACATTTGAAATAGTGTGACGCTAAGGTAGTTTTCACACCACATTATAAAAACAAATATGCACCACTTTGTGAGTTCTATCTCTTAGAGAAACCATAGATTAGAAAAATAAACAATGGAGGGTTAAATAAAGCAAACTGCTGGGTTGCATTGTAAAATGATGATTATTTATATACACGTCATGACATTACGTTTTGATCATGTTCAATCAATAGTCAACATTGGATCAAAATTGTTAAAAACAACCTTGTGAAAAACTCTTACTATACACACAAAGGCTTCTCCTCTGTTCCATACACGCTCTCCTTTTCTAATAGGATTATAAAAGGACCTTCATTAACCTGCACATGTGGGCAGAGAGAGAGAGAAGCCTTCAATGAAATTAGACTGTGTCCATGGCTGCAGAAAGGACGTATTGATTTCCTCCCTGCTGCTTGCTGTGGTGGATGTACCTGCACTGAGAACCTGAAAAGGATTCAATTAGATCTGTTACCAGAGCTATTTGACCCAACAAGCTGCTTTCATTGCATTGGGTTTGTCCTGATATCGATACACTGCCGCTCCACCATGCCTCTGCTTGCACAGTGTTAATGGAAAAAGCAAAACAAAGTGGGTCAAAGCTGATTTATCTACACATCGCTTTTGTGAAGTTAAGCGTTACATTGTGCTTTACACAGCTGCACTAGTACAGATAAAAACACAAGATAGAAACCAGAATTACCTGACAGAAAAGATAATGTGATTTTATTTTGTGAGTGTGTTTTCTCAGAAAGTGTGAGACAACATGCAGTCAGCACAATTTGACTATCTGTTTATGATATTCCATGTCGGTAGAAATTCGTCCTCTTCTCTGTATCAAGTTTCTCACAATGCCCTGAGAATTATATGCTGGCTTCCACAAGAAACCTGATGTTGCAGAAATTTGACTCAAATTAATAAAATAGACTAAATTCCTCGCAAATGCAGCGTCGGCACAGTGATTCTCTTGTATCTGTTGATTAACTTCAGATAAGATTTGTCTGCTCAGCATACTGTTGCTTACTAAAGGGCCAGTACTCCGATTGTTGTTGATCTGCTCCTTAGAGATTACAAAGTGTTAACCATAACTCTGAAGAGGGTTTATATTTATCAATTGTAATTATGGAGAAATCTTGAGAGCAGCTGAGAATCTTATCTTTCATATGATTTAAACCTACCATGCAAAATGCACTTTTTTATGTCTTTTATACATAAATATGTGTGTCCGGTGTGTCCGGGAACTCACAAAGTGTCAGAAAAAAAAAACCCTCTCTCTTTTCCTCCGTACCCACATCTCTAAAAACAGGGGTACAACGGAATCTGCTGATCCAGATTGCGTCCGATATGATGTTATATCAGTAAATGTGGACTGGCTTCACACCACGGCCACTTATCAGAAACGTTGCCTATCAGAAACAATGCCTGACTGTTTTGGACGTAAATATGGGCTTTGTTTACATTAGCAAGCATCGCTAACCCAGAGTACCTGTACTGGAGAGTATGTGTAAAAAAAAAGCAGGAAATAACAAAAGGAACTCACCTTGTAGAAAACCTGCAAGAAAAGAAGCATTTGAACTCCATACTGTTTCAGAAATAATCCTTGAAGTGGTTTGGAACATGATATGGCGTTTCATCACGGCAGCATTTAGCTGCATCTGAGCAGATCAGACAGCCTGCTCTTCACAGAACTCTGTGTGCCTGGTGCTCAAAAGGGGGCGGGGCCAGCAGAGAATCAGCCATTCTCTAACAGGGCTGAAATAGAGGGATATGAGGGATGTCTAAAATGCATGATCTGTTTGGTATTTTGAACACATCATAGATATGTTTTTATGTATTTGTATATATCTGATATATGCCTAAAAATAGCATGATAGGATATCTTTAAAGTAATAGTTGTGTCTTATATATTGATATTAATTATGTTTTGTATTCTGTTTGTCTAGGTCCAGTCTCTCCATTCATCCTGCGAAACCTCTTGTTCCCTCTGTTTGGGGCCAGGTAGGTGGTCCTACAGTACACCCCCGTCTGAATGAGTCAAAACACAAAGGAAGGAACATTTATTCCTTAAATTCCTGAAAGATTTGTGAATCCATTTTGGTAATAATTTTGTCAGCAAGCAGTTGATTTACTTAGTGACATGTATATAAACCGTTTTTATAAGTTCATTTTAAGATATACTGGATTAGTTAAGTTGTATGCGAGTTCTCTATTTTATTTTATCTGTCTTATTGTAGGTACAGTTAAGACTTGAAAAATAAAAGAAATAGATGGCTGTTATTTTCTTAATGTGAATAGAGCTGCAAATTCTTTTTGTCTTTAAAATAATGCTTTGTTTGAGTTTCTCAGAAGCCATCGAGATGTCTGTAATGTGTTCAATTGTGAAGTTATAATATTAATATTGCTGTTCTGGAACAAATGAAAGTTATGATTAATGCAAATTTTATTTTTGAAAATAAATCTTGTTTGATCTAATATTTTAGTATCTGTAGTTATGATATAACTCTTGGTGGGTTTTTGGGGTTCCTTAGTTTCCTGTTTTATTTTTTCCTTCCATGGATTCACTCTTAAGACATTCATATTTATACCGGTTTTTATACACAATGCTTTACATAAAGACAAAGGCTTTTTTCTTTCTTCAAAGCATGAAATATTTTTAACAGTTTTAAAAACTGGAAACAGCAGGAAATATAACATTTATAATATTTATTGCATTTGTTGCTTCATGAAGTCTTAAAGAGTACCAAAACACATTTTAAATTGGTATTTTCAGAAAAAGCTTAATTCAGTTGTATAATTTAAGCGCTGTTGGTCCAGTTCTGCTCATCTATGATTCTAGATGCCTTATCAGGACAATGTCAATGTGACCTTCAAACTGGCAAATTAGCCATATCTATACAAATCAGTTTTCTGCATTTGACCTGCGTGACTGTAAGTGAGGCTGCTTGTGAACAGCAACACTTCATAAAACATTTATCACGGAGAATATGGATAAGAGAGACAAGATCAGCGCAAAGGATCCATGGATAAGAGCAAACAAAGAGCAGGCCGTCTCTGAATTCATTGACCCTCATTGCCTGGACCTAGGTGCATTATGGAGCTTAAATGCGTTTGTCTCATCACGCAGCCCAATATAGATTCAAAGCCTTTCCGCAGTTAAAAAACCTACCTTCACTTGATATATCCAAAACAAGTAAAATAAAACTATAGTTAATGTATATTTTATGTTGTAACTTATAGAGAAGCTAGAGCTTGGTTAACAAAACGTGTTCGGAATGAAAAAGGTTAAAGTAGAATGTGTAGTCCTTGATCATTAGTCTACAGGCGAGGCCCTGGCAATTTACAGGCGAGACCCCTGAGCCAGCCTGTCAGAGGACTGCTTTGGTTTCTGAGGCTTTTCGTTAGCTGACTAGTTGATGCATACTGTTAAAGAGAAAAGAGACTTTCAGTGGATTTTGGGAGATGGCCCTGTGGGCCATCTAAGCTAATTTACAGATGGCCCTGAGCCCAATAGAGATTGCCCTGAAAAATGCGCGCGGACGAAATGGCACGAAGGGTTTGGGGGGCCTCCCCCTAGAAAATTTAGATTTGTGCAGGTCTTACTGTAGATGCTGTCTGGTGCATTCTCTAGACTGAATTATAAGATGAACCACCACAATATTATATTGTACAATTCAATTTCCTTCTTCATTTCACTTGTTTGTTTGTTCTTGTTTGTGTTTGCTCGCTTGCATGCCCTACATAGCTATAAGAAATACTTAAGTTGTTGGTCAAGACACTTTCCATCTGATGAAGGCAAATGCCTTCCCAGATGTAAAAAAGTAGAAAACATTACATTCAGTTGTAACTGCCAAAACAAACATTATGTACATTATTATGGCCCCTGTTAAAAATATTTGTAATGTTATCTACTGTAAGTTGGTCGAACGAATACCTCCTCATCCGGAAGCTGACCGAGCAGACCCGAGCAGCAGTCGAGAGGAGCCGAGCGCATCCGCGAAGCACACAAAATGGCGACGTCAGAGTTCCCTTTAGCCGGCAAATCTAAATCTCTTTGGTCAAAATAATTTCCCTTTAGCGCGATTTATGTGACAGACAAGAAGAGTATGTGACAGACAAGAAGTCAATTCTAATGTCTAACACTTAATGTGGAGAAAGAGATGTCCTGTATGGGTTGATTGTGCGTTGATCTGTTGGTAATGCCTCGGGGTTCCGGTGGGCATGTAAACAAATGCATAATGCTGCGCTATATTTTGTGGCCTCACCCAGTTGCATAGTGACACTTATTGTTTAGGTGTCTTTTAATAAGCAGGTAGTCATATCATTAGCTAGAACTAGCTGGATCTGATCGATATGGACATAAACGCGAGTGAAGTCTAAACTGGCGGGAGAGAGAGATCAGCTGCTGCTGACGAGTCGACACGCAGCTCTGCATGATCACATGCAGCGGTGAGCGGACAAAACACACACTTCAGGTT